ACATTTTCATCCCATGTAGAAAAGTCACTCAGCAACCTAAGTTCAAGATATAAACACAGAAGTTTTTATTATTTGCTCCATTCCCAAAGAGCTCATCCTACCTGACACATAGGAGCAGGACAAATAATCAGTTTCTCTGTTTCTTGCCCAAGCCTCACCTATTGGCAACTCCTAAGACTTGACTCTTTCTTCTACACCTTGCTGTGTAGGTATCTACAAAGTTATGGAATCAACATACAGAATTTCATTTCCATCTTTGTCTTCATCAAGGGAAGTTTTGTGTTGAGTATCTATGGAGGCATTATACAGATGTTTGGCTCCATACCATGCAATTTTAAAGCAACCAATTGCTCATGTTTGGAAGACCAATGCATCTGCCTCTTATTAAGTAACGGAGTGTTCTGGGAAATTTTACCCAACTTACTCAAGTCCCATTTCTTCTTCAGTAAAGATATAATAATACTTACTTGACAGGATTATTGAGATTAAGTGGAGGAGGGGGAATGGGAGAATACATAAAATGTCAAACAATGTCTGACAAATATTAGGTACCACCCACCACTTTTCTTCTATAATATACATGTCTTTGACATAAATACTTTGCTTATCAAATTGAGTAAGATAATTCTGAAAAAGAGAAAACTCAAAGGCTTCTAGTATTGTTTGAAATTAGTATTATTATAATCTTATTTAAATATTTACATACCTAAAACTAGGCATAAATGACTTTACTTGTAGCTCTTGTAGAAGAGAAAAACATCTTTTCTCTATCCATCTTTGGTTCTGGGGTGGGACTCTGTGACAAAAGACAGATTAGGAAAAAGAAAAGCACACACATTTATTTAATGTAAGTTTTATGACACAGGAGACTTCATAAGGAAATGGAGACCTCAATGAATGGCAAAACCTAAATGCTTATATATTATATTAAAGGAAGACAGGCAATTGTGTAAAAGTAAGTAAAATATGTGGAGACTATGAAAAGGAATATATGTATGTGTATGTGTGACTGAAACATTATGCTATACACCAGAAATTGACACAACATTGTAAACTGACTATACTTCAATTTTAAAAGTTTAAAGAGCATAAAATATGTGGAGACTACAGGAAGATAAAACTTATTTTAACAAGGTATGTTTTACAGAATTCTCTCAACTCCCATCTCTGGTGATAATAATGCCTTTCCTCCTGGTATAGGAAGGGCATCTCACATTGGATTTTAATCTCCTGTTTTCAGGAGAAAAGGAGGTCACACTACTCTTCTTGTACCTGCTATTTTTCAAGTGCTTTTAGCACAAAATAATCCTTATGCCAAAGTGACATACTTTGGGGTGGCATATTCTGCCACCCTTCACTCTCATACAAAGTATAAAACAAACTCACAAATTAAGAATAAATCAAGCTAACAAAACTAAACAAATTAAAATTAATACTAATTCCATGAGATGGATAATATTGCTTTGGTGGCTCTAAATTGCAATCTGCAACATTAAATACGATACCCAAGGCAACAACACAGATTCTCTTGATTTAAACATTCCTTCAGTAGGGTGAGCCTGATGACCCCTCCTCAACCCTCTGCCAGTTCCCTGCTATTTTAACAACTTCAGTGAAAATTGAGGGCTTTTACGCTAAGTGAAATAAGTCAGACAGAGAAAGATAAGTACTGTATATCACTTATATGTGGAATCTAAGAAGACAAACTTGGAGAAACAGAGAGTGGAATGGTAGTTACCAGGGACAAGGGGGTGGGGGAAATGGGGAGATATTGGTCAGATGGTACAAACCTCCAGTTATAAGATTAAGAAGTTCTGGGGATCTAATGTACAGCATGGTGATTATAGCTAGCAATACTGTATTGTAAATTTGAATGTTGCTAAGAGAATAGATTTTTAAATATTATCACACAAAAAAGAAATGGTAATTATGTGACAAGATGGAGGTGGTAGCTAATCATCTTGATATATATATATGTATAGATATGTGTATATATATATATCTGAATCACTATGCTGTACACCAGAAACTAAGACAACATCGTGAATCAACTATATTTTAATAAAAAATAGAGAAAATAGATAAATGTATCAATCAACAAGTGTTACACCTTAAACTTATACAATGTTATATATCAATTATATTTCAATAAAGCCAGGGAAAGAAATAACACTAGTGTATGGCAGAACGACACCTTAGAAAAAAGGTGAACCAAAAATGATCCACCCTGTCTTTTAGCTAATTCAGGGTGTTCATTTTTATCAATCAACTGCTATGTTCCAGCACTACTTTAGCAATTTACTCATAGTACCTCATCTAATCCTATGATATAAGGACTCTTATTATCCACATCCTGACAACTCATTTTAACACATCTCCCTTTTTGGTCTAAATATTTTCCCACTCAATATGTGCTCCAAACATATCCATATAAACCCTGCCCATTCTCCCATTCTATCATCTTCATTTCTAACCTAGCCTATATCCAACATTTTTCTTTCCCAACAATTACACAAAAAAAATCAACATACATTACAGATAAGAAAATATAGATAAGGAAAAAGATTTAAATATTAAATTCATGCATTATCTTATTACTCATAGCTATTCTTATTTTGGTATCTAGTCTTTCAATATTTTGTATTTCTCAAAAATGGGATATAGTATGTATATAGTCATGTAATTAGCTTTTCCACTTAATATTGTATGCTGAATTTTTTCCATGTAAATAAGTGCAGTTGCCCATCAACATTTTCAAGAGTCAAATAATGTTTTAATGTGTAGACATACCTTAATTTCTTAGCCAAGTGCCTATTTCAAGACACTTGGGACATTCATAGTTTTTCACTCTTCAAAGCGGTGCAAAGATGCACAGCCTTGTACAAGCCAATTATTTCTCCTAAAACAATTATATTTCCTAAGGACACATTTCTACAAGTGGAATTATTGGGTCAAAGAGCACTCCACAAAGACCCTGCCCCAACCAACTTTATAAAAGAAATATGATAGAAGCACGAAAATTTATTCTTTCTTATATTATGTTTTCCTATTATTTCAAAATAATAACTAATGTATTCACTCACATACATACCAGAGCTGGACAAGAAAGAGGATGTTTTCCTATCAAATGTCCTCAGGATCCTAAAATAAAACTGTCCCTCTCTGTATGTCCCCAGGATAGGTTCCAGCACTTCTTTGGTCAAAGCGTCTCACTTCCTTCCTCCCCTTACCACTCCCATGGCCAGCAGTGAAACTTCACGCCCTTAGCATCTATGCCTGAACTGTGGTGGTAACTTCCTAACTGGTGTTCCACTCTCCAGGGGCCACTCCAGTCCCCACCCCAACTCTGACCCATTCTGCACACAAGTCAGCCACATCATTTTCCTTTCATTCTGTTATTCCTCTGGTCACAAAAGGCTTTGGTGTCTTCCAGGGGTGGGTGGAGTAATACACAGACATCTGTTTATAAATTGGGGATCTTCCATGAATGGGATTCACCTCAACTGCTGGACTGTATTTCCCATCACTTCCTCTCTGCACACTATATACTCCAGGCAAGCCAGCCTCCTCTCTCTGGGGTAGGAGTCCTACCTCCATGCCTTTCTTCCCATTACTCCTCCCTCTTCCAATGCCCTTTTATCCCATTTTTAGTCTGTCGTTTAAGCCCAGCTTAAAGTGTCCCTTCCTTTGAGGGGAGCATTGTTGCCTGCAGAAGTTTCTGCTGCTTCTAAGAACTAATAGGAAACAGCTGGCCATGATTAGAGATTCTCAGTTTTGTCAGTATCTTTTTGTTTCCTTACATCTTGCCTTTCCAAATACATCATAAATTCAAGAACATAACTTTTTTCTTTGCTTGTTAAAACATACACGTTTATTGATGAAACACAAGTCTAAGATTAACAAATGTAAACCAATACAAAAGTGTAGCTTATTCATGATTAGTTTGCTGTCAGTTTAAGTAGAGGAAAGAGTAAAAATATCTCAATCTAGGTAGCAACATGAAATCAATAAATGTTTTCTTTGTACAACCCCTAGTATTCACTTGACGTCCTTAAAATGGTCCAGCCTAAAACCCATCATCATAGCCAGCATCACTGTTGATACGTGATATTCATTATCCCAAAATAGCAGCTGAAAGGATCTCTTTGCCATACAAGCACAGTGAAAAAGAAAGAATTTACAAAATTGTTCCCAAGTGCAAACTAAAAAAAAAATACTCAATATTGTTTGGGACAGACTCCCAGTTAGAGTTTGGTCAATACTTTTAGGACTTTTACTTTCACCACCAGATCACTGTGATTTGCTAATGCTTTGATTTTTTTAACACACACTCCAGATTCCTTGAATAAGAAAAAAAGTGAACTTCTGCTGAATTCTTTCCTGGATGAGGCAAGCCCTTCATTTTTTATGTTGTCATTTATATTCTCAAATAGGGTAAGGATATTAAGAAGAATCTCTCTGTCCCATTCTTTATTAAAAAGGGAAATCAATTCTGATGGTACTTTACAACTGACCAGCTCTCTTGTCATGGCTGGATTTTCAGTAAAGTTTATGATTAGTTTCATAATCTGAACCTTAGTGAAGTAATTTCCCAGGAATAACAAAGCAAAAAGGTCTGGAAAAGAATAGGAAAGCAAATGTTGGTAATGATTAGTCACAGTCATATTGGTTAACAGCCTTAGTCCAGCCATCTGCACAGCTGAGTCCAAACGACAGATCATGGTGTCATCACACACTTGTATGATATAAGTCTTAATCTTGCCCTGATTTTCCACATTCACACTCAGGTTATTAAGGGCATTGTATGCCTTTTCCCTAATAATGGGATCTTTCGTTTTTATCAGTTTTGCAATAATTGGCAGACCACCCAATTCACGAATGGCATTTTGGTTAAATGAATATGCTGCATTGTTACCCAGAGTGACCAAGGCTACTTCTTGAGTAAAAGGATCATTAGATCTTTCAAGGATGTTAAGGACCTTTTGAAGGTCATTAGTACCCAGAACATCATCAATTTTATAGGGAAAGTTGAACTTGCCCCTTCGAACAGACCATGATGTAGTTGTAGTTGGAGTCCTGGTGCTCTTACCTCGGGTCCTTCCCTTAGACTTGCTACTTGCCCTGCCCCCAGCCCTAGCCCCATTCCTCACAGGGTGGCAGCCTCCACCCCTGATTCCTGGACAGGGTAAACCAGGTGCAAGCATTCTGGTCCCAGAGATGGTACTCAACCTGGCCCCTCTGCCCGCTCTTGCACTTGCCTGTTCCTTCAGGATGCTGAAAAGAGCCTTGGCCTTGGCCTCTAGGCCACCTCCGCTCTGGGCCTTCAAGTGGGCCTCTGCCTTTACATCAGGTCCACTCTTGAGTTCCACGCCCACCTCAGCCTTGGCCTTTGAGTCACCCTGAACTCTAGCTCCAGCTCCAGCCCCAGCATTAGCCTTAGCTCCTTTCCCAGTCTCTGCAATATCACTAGATTCCTCCTCCTCATCCTCATTGTCATCATTCCAGATTTTCCCACTCTCATCTCTTCCCCAGGTCAGTCTGTATACGCAGTAGCAGGCACCAGCCCCAATCACCACACCAGCGGCCACGCAGCCAGCTTCCCGAGTACGACCCATACTGGGGTGAATGTCTGAATTCTTAACCCGGGCACAGAGGGCTTGCTCTGGCCCAGAGGAGTGCTCCCACGTTGAGGGCGGAGTCTTCAGCTACAGTTGGCAGGCTCTGCTACAGCTGCAGATGCTGCAGGACCTAAGAATGAAAGAAAGATTTGAGACTTCAGCCTCCTCGTTTTGTGCCTTTGAATGCAGACAGACTGAACTTCAGGCTAACAAACAGACCAAACATACAGGAACATGGCAGGGACTCAGGGCTAGATCACTGATTCCTTTCTTCAATTGGGAAGGTAATTTTGAAAATTTTCCCCACCTCCAGATTCTCCAACCTCATGTTCAACCACCCCGGTATATTAAATTTAAGATATCTAATCAGTTCCCTACCTCCCCTGCCCCTCCAGATGTCCTGGGGGCAGTGGCACCCCCACATATACCCACACGGGTCCCAGCAGTTTCTTCCTTCTACTTCTTGCCTGGAAGTGCACTGCGTTCTGCAAACCTGAATACAATGGGATGAGGAGGGTGGTGCTGAGCGCTCAGGACATATAGACCTCACCAGGGACGGGACACACGTCACTCTCCAGAATCACTAACCCTAGTCCCACGTAGCCCAATATTTCCCACCTTTGGTTATCCCCCTCTTCTCATTAAGCTGCGGCTTTTAAGTTCATTATGACCCTCCCCCTTTTCCTTCAATTACCTTCAAGCCTCCATCCCACCCTCACCCTTGAAAGTCACTTCCTTCAAAGGTGATGACATAACTCCTTTCCTGTGAAAAAATGGGTGGTGGTGGAGCGAGGGTGTCTAGAAGTCAGACAGGCGATACACAAAGGTCTCCAACTCGGCCAATGCCTCTGCCATCCCCACCGTCTCAGAGGTAGCAGGATACTCCCACCCCCACCCATTATACTGACTTCCACTGCTCGGGAGGAATTTCCTTCCTCCCTCATCTCAGTTTCCGCCTCCACCAAACCTAAGGACTGACAACTCTGGAACCGAGTGCTTAGTAGACAGACCAACACCAAGGACACTGTATCGGAAAGAGTAATCTGCAGCAAGGTCCTCCCCACCCCCGGACTTTCGTAACACCCTCGTCCTTCTAGCCACTTGCTTCCTGGTCTCATACCTGCAGAGTACTTTTGCAAGCTCCACAATGGTATGAAGAGGAAGGAAGGAGGGGTATGCAGAGGAGGTCCATGGCTCCCTGGAGTTTGCAGTCTCCACCATTCTCCACCCCAGGGATCCCTAAATATGCCACCACCCTCACTCTGACCTACTTGTTTCTGGACAATTTTCCTCTTCTTCCTGCTCTTAGGGTTGGACTGGCCTTCAGGCGCAAGATCCACAGACACAGACAGGCGACACGGCAGAGACGGATGGCTAGGCGGACAGAACAGCACTTCAGACAGTCCCAATACCAGCTTTTCCAAATGTAAGGTTCTGCTTGTCAAACGGATTTCACCTTTTGGTCTCTCACCCTACTCCCACTTATCAGGAGTCCGCTGACAGCAGCCCTCTTCCTGCAAGGACGTCCATCCACCCCTCCCCCTCCCCCATCCCCACCACCCAGCCTCAGCCCCAGCCCCAGCGGTCAGCCATTTTCCCAGCAAAAACCACACCCCTTTCGAACAACTGGAAAGAGGGGAAGCGGGGAGAAGGAGTGCGGAAAACCGGAGGAGAGAAAGAAAACCCAAAGGTCTCATTGATCCCCCTCCCAGGCGCATTCCCAGCCCCAACGACAACCATTTTTCCTTCACGCGTTGTCATAGCCAAGTTGCTGCATGAAATAGCAGGGAGGTTGCTAGAGAGTTAGTAATGCGCCCAAGTAAAGGCGAGGACCTCCGTCATCCCCTCCCTTCTGGGGGCCATGGGGCAATCCCACCTCTGCACGGACCTGCAGGGTTTCGGGGCGGATTGTTTATTCCTTTCTCCGAGTGGTACAGGGCCCTACTGAAATACTTGGGGAATGACAAGACAGACGCACAGTTCCAAGATTTTGGCTTGCTAGATGTACCAGCACTCAGAACAAGAATCTTAATATCTGCCCTTCCCGATTCAAGACCCTAGATGCCAAAGGTTTCAGGTTTCCCCCTCCTGGTTTGGGGTCTTCCCTGGAATCCAGCCCCTCCTCCCCAATGTCCATCATTTTCGTTCTTGGAAAGGCTGAAGGTAGTGCAAGGATGTGGCGAAAATGGGCCTTGTCCCTCTTCGGTCTCCGCCCTCCGCCACCCGCACTGCAGGGATCCCCGGGGCAGCGCCCATCCACACACAGACCTGCTGGGATCAAAGCAGTTATCTCCTCTTTCTCTCCTGGCCACAGGCCCGCCCGACCTCCGGGCAATAAGGAGATGGCAACCGGACCAAAGGAAGACCGGGATTAGAAAAACGTCTGCACACGTCGGCTCCTGCTCACGTGAGGGCTACGTCACTCCTGAGCTCAGGACCCCAATTACCACTCCCACCAGCAGTGCGGCAGGAGCTGGCCCACCCCTCTCCTTCCCTTCCGCGGCAGGTTCTGCCACTCATTTTCCTCTGCCAACCCGAGACCAGAAATACTTCTCTTGTGGTTGGAATTTACCTTTCTTTGGTTAAC